CCCAGCTTTGTCAGTATGGTGGTATCTGCAATAGGAGCACTTTGCAGGCATACTATGCCAGTAAAGCATTTCTAGTGTACACGTGGCTTCAGAACGGCTAACGGAGACAACAATCCCTACCATTGATCTTGACCTCACTATAGATTAGTGCTGAGCATGAGGCTGAAATGGTTCCTCCCACTTCTAACAGAAAAAGTGTCCTCTTGTTATTCCCCCAGCACCTTATTGTGAAGATCTGTTAATTCCTTTCCGTGTAATAACCACTCCCACCTCATCTGCAATAAATCACTTTCCTGCCTCTAGACTTTCGTGTATGTTCAACTCAACAATTGAACCATAAACCACCCGTTCTTTCCTGTATCATGGCTCAACTCCCTTTCCCAACACATACATCTTGTGGTTTTGGATTTAAACACCAACTTCCTCATCCCACACTGCTCCTTTGCCCCTTCTGTGAGACCACATACAAAATGTTGGGGGAGTTACACATGGCGTGATGCTCTTCCCACCACGAATGCCATTCATACACCTGGCAGAGTGATGTGTCATTAACGGAAGGGGCAAACTGGGGGAAATTGGAGAGCAGGATGTACAAATTGTACTATCAAAATCATTCCCTTTTCTGTTAGAAGGAAACGTTGGATGGTGCCACTATTGTCCCTGCTCTTTTCTTCTGTGTTCTTCTCACCTAGGGTGACCAGATGTCCCGATTTTATAGGGACAGTCCCGATTTTTGGGTCTTTTTCTTATATAGGCCCCTATTACCCCCCCACCCCCGTCCCGATTTTTCACATTTGCTGTCCTATTCTCACCTGATAGATTTTGTTCCAATGGCCTGACCTAGTTTTGTCTTGGTTTCAGGAAGGACCAGTGTAGTGTTTTGTGGGCGGGTTTCCATTTGGGATTGAAAGCGAATATGCAGCAACTCTTGTTTGCATGACTGGAGGGAGCGCTAGGCAAGAAGGGAGGGGGTTGATGTGAGGTGAGTGCTTTAGAGCCCTTTAGTTTCAGTTTTGCTCTGATTATTCCACTATTTTTTTTCTGTGAAACCATTTCCTGGTTTTGTCTCTCCTCTCGCAGGCTGCTCAGAGAGCTGAGGAAGGAGATGCCATGGAGAAAGCAGTGAGCAATTGCTTACATGACATTCTTGAAGAGCTGACAAAGGATGAGCTCAAGAAATTCAAGTTCAAACTGAACAAATTTAAGCTCAAGAGGGACTCTGACAATATCCCCATGGGTAAATTAGAGGAAGCATCACCTGTGGACATGACTCAATCCCTACTCAGCTACTATGGAGAGGACTATGGGGTGGAAGTGACAGTGAATGTGCTGAAATCTATAAACAGGAGAGATCTGGCTGAGAAACTCTCTGAGACACTGAGACCTGGTAAGAAATAACCTAGGGAGAGCTCTGCCCTGCACAGTGTGTGCGTGTGGGGGGAGGGAGGAGGAATTGTATCTCCTTCTCTGCAACTCTGATTTTCAACATTTGCTTTTTTTTATAATATTTATGGACATAAATAACTATTTGCTTTGTGCTGAGGTGACGGCCGCCATCTTGGCTAACATACTGGGGACCAACCCGTGGACCTCTAGTGCTAAAAGCACAAACTGCCAAAGCTTCATAAAATGGAGCTGTAACAGTCTGAGAGAGCAGGCAGAGAGGTGAGACGTGTAACACATTCACTAGTGAGTTACACTGACACTGTGCTCCACCCTCTACACTGCACAGAGAGGCAGGGATGGTCCTACCCCAAAAAGTGTGAGAGAACACATTTCCCAGCCAAAGCAGGAGCATTATTAGAAATGACAGAAGAGAACAGAAATCGCCCAGATTTTAACCTGTCAATCTTTAATTCAGAGCCAGGTTTCACTCATCATTTTCTGACTCCACTTCCTGGCTCCAATTATGCCTCCAAAGACTTGCAGGTGCTTAACTTTACACACAGTGATTCCAGCTCAGAACTGAACTAGTGCTGCAAAGTCTTGTAATTGTACCATTAATCATACAATATTTTGTGTTTTCGTAAAGCCCCTGCTTCTTGAGTCATGTGATTATATGACTCAATTTTGTTTAAAATATAAAGTACAGTTCTAATTCTCATGACTGCAAAGAAAAACTACAAAGTATAAACAATAAATGCTCAAAAAAGGCCAATTAAAATGTTTTTTTAATCTCATGTTTTTAAGAGAGACAATTATGATTTTTGTAAATGCTTTGGTTTGGCAACATTGCAGTGCTTAAGCACATGTTTAACTTAACATACTGACATACAATTGACTTCAGCAGCATTACTTACAGCAGAGGTTCTCAACCTTGGGCTACCAGTTGTCACAGAGTGTGCAGGAGTCAGGGCCCTGCACCCCCCCCTTCCTGCGATTCACCGTGACTCTCAGCCAGCCAGTACAACAGGTTTATTGGACAGGAACACAGTCTCAAGCAGGGCTTGTAGGTACAACCAGGACCCCTTAGCCAGGTCCCTCTCAAGGGCAAGGGTCTTAGACCCCAGACTTGGGGTTCCCTGCCTCTTCCCAGCCAGCCCCAAACTGAAAACAAAAAAGCCCTCCAGCCGGCTCTCTCCCCCTCTCCCTTTGTCCAGTTTCCCAGGCAAAGGTGTCGACTCGCCCCACCCCCCTTCCTGGCTGAGGTTACAGGCTCAGGTACCGTCCCTCACCTAAATTCATCCCCTGCTCTCCCATCCCCCATGTAGACAGACAGTCCCAGTAAAACTAAATGACATTCCCAAGTCAATCCACCCCCCTCCCTACTGCGTCACAGTGCCATGCAGCAGCTGGCGCTGATCTGGGGGGAGGGGAGGCTCCCCTGGTGCTGTGCCAGCTTCCTGGGGGCTCTCACGGTCAGAATTTTACAAGTCACCTAGGGCCACTAGTGCAATGTTCACAAACATCTTCACTCCAGCTGCTCTGGAGCCCCCGGGGGAAGGTGCAGGACCCAGCCTGGGACAACTGCCCCCTCTGTCCTTACAGCAGCGTGGGGGGGGGGGGGAGTGTATTTCTTTTACTGAACGCTGAGGGCCCCAGTGCAAGGCCCTGGCAGCTGGATGCTCCGTGCAGCTTCCTGCAGTGAGCGGATGCCTGTTCCCTGGGACAAGGCCAGGCAGGAATACACAGCTGCGATCACAGGGTGTCAGCATCACTAGGCAGGTGAGGCCACCCCTCAGTCCTAGGCACCCGACTTGCCTCGAGTCAAGCGCAGCCTCAGGGACTTTTCCACCTCCAGCATCAGACAGCTCATGTGGCTACAGCTCACTTAATTCCCTGCCATTGCAGGGGCCTCAGGCAGTGATGCCACCTCAGTCCCACCACTGCCACACACGAGGTTCATCTGCTGAGGACTGAGTTTGGGCTGATTCCAGGTGCTGCTCAGGGACTTGTGCTAGACAGCAGGTGAGACTAGCTGAGCAGATGGACCCTTTGGGCCTCAAACTCGACCGCTCAACAATCTGCCGCTGGAGTGACTGACGAGCGGTGCCCATGGAGCCAAGGTAAGGGGCACAAGGGAGCAACGATCAAGGGTCGTGCACAGAACTGCACCAAACAGGGTGTGAGCAAACACGAGCTAAAGCACTGCAGGCAGCCATGGGGAAGCCCAAGGGCCGGTGGGACCCAATCAGCATCTGTCTAGAGCAGCTGATCCTTTGCACAGCCCAGAACATCAGCTACCACGGAGTGCTGGGCCCGTGCTCAGCCTCTCTAGGCCACCAGGAGCCATGGACTCCTCTTCAGCCCAGGCTCTGCTCGCTGCCTGAGACACATTTCGCAAACCAGAGGCCGGGCTGGTGCTAGCAGCCTGACAGATCCCATTCTAAGGCCCTGGGTGCAGCTGTTTGTAACTGTGCCAGAATAACTGGGTTCCAGCCGTGTCTGCCACATAGTCTATTTATTTATGGTCTGGTGTCATGTAACATGGCTCAGCTATTTTGGAAAAACATAGTGACTTGCCCTTGTTAAAGATTCGTGTCAGTGTTTTGCTGAGCTCTGGGTTTGGAGCAGGGACGTTGACCCCCATGTAAAAATTTGGCCGAGTTCTGAGTCTCTAAAAAACATTCAGTTTGCACATGCTTTATAGAGACTTGTCAGTATTTTACGGCTAAGTTCTCCCAACATTGCCCCTGCCCTGAGCATGCTCCCTGCTCTCCCAGCTCTTACCGCCAGCCTGACTTTGTGCACCAACCCACAGAATGACTGAGCATGTGCCAGTGGTGGAGTAGGACTTCTCATTCCAGCCCCCAGAGACCACAGTGGTGGCTGGGCACCTGAAATGTGTCTACTGTGATCTCAACACTCCTGCTGCTGGAGCCCAGGCAGCGTGGAAGAGAAGGAAACTGTGACCAGGACACAGAAAAGTGAGGAAGACGTGGGGACTGGCGGTGGCAGAAATCAGAGGGGACAGATCTAGAACCACTAGAGAACACTCCCCCCAGAACCTGGAATGGAACCCTGACCGCCCTCGGTCTCCATTTTCCATTGCTGTCGGCAAACAGCTGTGAAACCCCCTGCTGAAGGGGGAAGTCTCATTTCTCCCCTCTAGTGAGTGGTCTACATGGAGGATAACAGCCTTCTACTGCCATCAGCTACTCCGCTGGCTGAAGTGACAGGTCTGTGCAGCTGGTCTAAAGGTTCCAACCCTGCTGCTGACTTGTGTAGAGGGTCAGTAGGGTTCCAATGAGGGGCTTTTTTAAACGAAAGAAATCAGGAAGCTCCACCCACAAAGCCCTGTTAAAGCCATTAGTTACAGTCAGGTACTTGGGAAATGCCTGATTTAAGGGTGGCTGCGCCACAGTGCTCTCACACCCAGCTACAATCCTGCGGCAGCCTCCCAGGAGCTCACAGTGCAGGCTCCTGAGAGCTGGGCAGGGACCCTGGTGTCCATGCGCTTTAGGACATGGCCCACATCACTGAGCTGGTGTCCCAGTCTGGACCTGCCAAGAGGCTGGGTGAGAGAACGAGGCAGAGTCGTTTCAGTGAAGAGACACCAAAACAGAGCCCAAGACCATCCCTCCCACCCTGTCCTCAACTCCACACTGATGCCTCTGGCTGGAGCAGGAGAAACAGATCTCTGCCCTTCCCCCCCACACTTGGCAATAGTGCCATGCCAGGTGCAGGACAGAGCCTGGGTTCTGGCCTCTGTCCCAGGCCTCCCGACCTCCCCAATCCCAGTAGCTAGCACCCCACTGGCCTCTCTCTCAAGTCCCCAGCTCAGCTCCCTTTCCCCTATTGAGATGGGCAGGGCTGAGAGAGCCCCAAGGGGAGAGGCCACAGGGCATCTTATGCTGGCAGCTGCCCCAGCGTCCTGCTGCCAGGAGGCCGAAAGAGACACCCAGCCCCAGAGCTAACCTGGCGGCAGGCTAGCAAAGCCGTGGGAAACAGCAAACAGGCCCAGAGAACAGGGTTTAATTTCAGAGCAAGCCAGGAGAGCCGCTGCCCTCCCGGAAGACCAGACAGCGGAGATGAGAAAGCCCGAGACAGGGACGCCTCCCCCTGCCCAGCTTTAGCTCCTGCTTTCCCAGCGAACCCCGGCGCCGTCTACAACCAGTGCAGGAAGCCCCTGCTCTGGGCCAGGCCGGACTGCACAGGGGTTGGCCCAGCCCAGGACGCCTGGCTGAAAGCAACCATCACCTCCTGGCCCTGCTCTGTGGGAGACCGGGACACGCCCGCAGTGGGGTGCGGTTGGCAGGCGGGTGTACAGAATGCGGCCGTCTCACTGGGGAGTCTCATCACATCTGTCAATTCTGGGTGGGCAACACAGAAGCCACATGACCAGGGCTAACCAATCGTCTGCCGCACAGCAAGCCTGGGAAGGGCAGTGGCGCCATGAAGCTGAGGCTGGCAGGGCCAGTTCCCGTGAAGCTGCAGACAGGAAGTGGCTCCATGGTCAACAGGAAATGACCTCTTATGATCCAGAGCGTCACTCCCTCCTCCTCTGGCTGAGGAGCCGGGGGCTCAGAACAGGGTCAGGTTGTCCAGAGTCACTCGGTGTCGGGGCCAGGGCTGGCATGTGGGCTGTCCAGCCACCCCAACCTGGCGCATGGTGCCGGCCGTGCCCAGCCCTCGGGGGCAGAGTCCTCACTTGCGGCGCCGTCTCGTCTTCTCTTTGCCTTTCTGAGCCCTCATGTCCTTCTTCATGCGGCTGTCCACCACCTTGAAGTGTCCCTTGACCCCCGCGGGGCGCCGCACACGCCGGCCGACCCCCTTCTTGGCTACCAGGTAGGTGACCTCCCGCTTCTCCTTCCCCAGGCCAGCCTTCTTGTAGATGCTGCCAGAGGAGAGGGGAGAGAGGTTAGAGCGGAGACCCTCCCTCCCGGCCCTGGCCAGCCCAGGGGGTGTCAATGTGACAGCTGCTGGGAGCAACTCCCAGCCCTGGACTCCACACGCTTCCTGGGGCACAAACAGCACTGGGCTGAGCGCCCATCTCCACAGCCCTGGGAGCTGCCACGCCCTCCGGGGCCGCAGCTTTAGAAAAATATGGGGACCCCCTTCCTGTCTGACCCCTGCCACCTCCCCGCCTTTATTCTCAACTGCCTCTTCAGCCCCCGTCCAGCCAGCCCCCTGCTCTCCCATGTCACTGGCTGCACGACCCTCTTCTCAGAGCCCCCGGCTCTACGCCACTGCCTAGCATAGGTGCCCCAAGCAGCGGGGGCCTGGCCAAGGCAGGGGTGGGAACCTCCTGATGCGGCTCTGGAAGCCTGCCTAGCCTCATGGCTATATGGCGGCCTGGCCCGGCTTCTGTTGTTCTGAGAGATCCGACCACCCCCTGCCCATGCCGTAGATCCCGACATCGTAACTCACCTGCGCAGCTGGGCCACCTTTTCACGCTCCGAAATATCCACTGTGCTCACCACAGCCTCTGCCTTTTTCTTCATCTGCTCCATCTTCTTCAGCAGCTGGGGGGAAACAGGAGAGGTCAGGGGGTGGCTGGGGGGCCCGGCCAGTCAGCCAGAGTAGAGGGTGGGGGATGGGAAACCCGCCCAGGGACACCGGCCATGCGGCTCACTTACCCGCCGCTTCTTCCGGGCCTTGGCCTCTGCCACCTTCTTGATGGGGCGGGCGTTGATCTGGCGCCAGCGCTGCCGGTATTCCTCCACCGTCTGCCGGTCCAGAGGCAGCTGCTTCCGGCGGTGTTGCTGCTCTTCCTGCTGGAACCACTCGGGCAGCTCCCCCTCCTCCTCGTTAAAGGCATACCTGGGGGAGGGGTGCCCGACAGGTGAGGGCAGACCCCAGGGACAGGCACAGGCCTGGCCCCTCCTCCCCGCCTCCTTGGGGCTAACGGACAGAAGAGACACCACCCCCACGGGAAGTGACTGTCGGACACAGCTCACACCCACAGGGCAGGAGTCACATGAGGGATCCCCCCCTTCTGCAACACACCCTGTTCTCTCCCCAAGAGTGAGAAACCAAGGGGGGCTGGGCCCCTCAAAATCACAGCTGACCCCCCCCCCCTCCCCGGGCCTGCCCCGGCCACCGCCCCACGCTGCCTGCTGCCCCCGGTACCTGTTGAAGGAGTTGTCAATCAGGTCCCGCTTGGCTTTCCTGGAGGTGGCAATGACAGACCCCAGCGCGAGCCCCTCTGCATCCAGGATACGGGCTCTCTTCACTGGGGGGAGAAGACGGGCACGTTAGGGCTCAGGCTGCTACAAACCCTCCCACCCGCCCCTGGCGTCTCCGTATACGAAACTGGTCACTCCCGAAGGCATTGTGCACCAAACCACTACCAATCCTGCATGTTTTATTTGTCACATAAATGTGGAGGCTCCAGCCTGGCCATGGGGAGCAGAGGCGGCAGATCACCCTGCAGCTCCCCCCGGGACATGGACTCAGCGGTGAGGCAGCACCCAACCCTGACGCAGCACAAGAACCAGGCCTGCCCCAGAAACACCCCAGGGCCCTGCCCCTCCATGCCAGGGTGGGCCGGCAGGCTCAGTCCAGCAGAATCCAACTGTGGAGGGGCTCAGTGTGGGGGGATCCAGGTGTGGGGCAATCTCAGTGGGGGATCTGGAGGCACAGGGGTTTGTTGGGGGTTCTAGGTGCAATAGGACTCTGCACGGGGATCTAGGTGAAGGTGGTTGGGGCTCAGCGGGACGGGGGTCTAGATGGCTCGGGGATCCAGGTGCAGGGGGAGTGGTGGTCATCAGGAGGGGATCCTGAGTGTGGGGGGGAGTGACACTCAGCGGGAGGGTTTGGGTATGTGGGGGGTCTGGATGCACAGCGGTTGGGCGGATGGGGGAACAACTCCCTGTACATGGATCCGTCCCCCAGCGGCTGAGGGGCAGCGGGTGCAGGACACGCAGGCGGTGGGGGGAGTTTGCAGAACTTCCTGCAGCTGGGGGAGGCTCTGACAGCCCCGAATGCCATGCAGGGGAAGAGGAAGTCCCGTCCTCCCCAGCCCAGCTGGGACTAGCAGCTGAGCCCAGCGCAGGGTAGGAGCCACCAGCCAGGTCTTCCCCAGTCCCACCCCCTACCCCACAGTGATTTACCTCTCTGCCGGCTGCCCTGGGCACTCGAAACATATTGCTGGGGAGGGTCACATGACCACTCTTGGTGCTTCCCTTTGCTTCCCCGTCAGAAAGTCATTTTTCTGCAGGGAAGCAAAGAAATCTGTGGGGCACATAAATTCTGCGCATGCGCAGTGGGGCAGAATTTCCCCAGGAGTAGAAACCTCCTGGCCTTATGCCCCTCTCCCGCCAGCTGGGCCTGTGCCCACCACCTAGCCCTGAGCTCCATGCTGGTGTCCAGGGGTGCAGACGCCCCAGCACACAGCCCCCACTCAACTCACCTGGGTCTTCAATGGGCACCACCTCAAAGCCACCTGGCTCAGCGAGCGCCCGCTTCCTTCCCTTCTGCGACGTCTCCCTGTGGGGGAAGAGAGGAGCGGTCACTGCCGCTCATGCAGCGCCCCCCAAGGCGACAGTGCTCAGGACTGGGCAGGAAGGGCAGCCCCCTCCCAGCACACCCCTCCCACTGCATAGAGTCCAGGGGCCCAGGCCCCCTGCTACCGCCCCCGGGCGGGCCAGCAACCCCCATTTGCTCACCTCTCCTCGTCGCTGCTGCTGTCAGAGTCCTCCTCGCCACTGCTCCTCCCACCCTGGTCTTCGCTGGGACCAGCCCCCACGGCTGCCCTGGGCCCCACCTCCACTGCAGCTGCCTCCTGGGATGGGGGCAGTTTCTTCTGCCCCTTCCCCTTCACGTTCCCTGGGTGTGACAAGCAAGGCCAGTGGGTGAGGTGGACTGGGGGGCCGCAAGGGAGCTCACAGCTGGGAGGGGCGTCGCAGCTGATAAGGGGGAATCCTGCTTCCCAGGGGCCCCAGCCACGCGGGCTGGATGGACAGCCTGGGGCTGGCATGCTACCTTCAGGGGAACCCTGCGCTCTGCCCCGTTTGGCGGGGCCCCTTTCCCTGGGGAGGCTGAGGCAAGGTCGAGCTCGTCTTACGAGCCCCTCCTCCCATTCAGTCGGTCCCGAGAGCAGGTCAGGGAACCAGGGCTCCAATTGCTTCTGTGACCCCGTGGCCAGTTCATCGCCTGGACAATGGGGGCCCAGCTCCCTCCGGGGCTTGGCTGCCAAAAACATACAGCTAAGAGTAGCAGAAAATCCCTCCTTTACCTGTAAAGGGTTAAGAAGCTCAAATAACCTGGTTGGCACCTGACCAAAAGGACCAATAAGAGGAGAAGATACTTTCAAATCTGTGGGGGAAGGTTTTTGTTTTGGGTTCCTTTGTTCTCTCCAGGTCAGCGAGGAGCCAGGGCAGAGAAAATACATCTCCCTAAGCCATATCTGAACTAAGGGTCTAGTCTTGCAAAAACCGTAACTAGCAAAGACATGCGTTAAATCACACTCGTCTACAATTTGAGAAGTCGTCTGCTTCAGAGATAAAATGTGCTATTTATTATGTATTTTGATGTGCTGAATTCAAATATGTCAATTAAAACAACTGATTAAAAACTTAAATATCTTAGAAACAGTAGCCACATTTTATGTCTATGTATATTGTGTAGATAGAGTTTTAATCATAAATTGTAAACCTAGGTCTTTTCATGTGTTTATGGTTGCTTTACATGATAATATTTCACCTGTCCTGTTTATGTAACACTTTAAAAATTAGCAAAAGGGTTATATAAATACAATTTATTATGAAACAAAAGGCAAAAAACTATTATGTACATAGGATTAAACTATTCAGTGTCTACTCG